GTCTTTCTGCAATTGACACCAAATCAACTTAGCGACACACAGCTATTCCTAATCAACAGCCTTACGCCGGTGGTCGCTCAGAATTTTGGTCTCAACAGAGATTTTTTTAGAACACATCTTACAAATTACATTTGGCACAAACACATTTTCTTAATAAGGATACAATTGCACTTTAATCTGAATCTTCCTGCTACTCTTATCATCCAATGGTAGCTATAAATAGTTCTAATACGTCCCAAACACGAACTGTTCAAGCCTTGTCTGCTTAAGAAGTGAATAACAAAAATTCTTAGATATAACTTTTTTGGTAAAATGTTTCATAATTCACATATATATTGGGATATTAGATTTTAGATAGTTATCTTGAATATTGTGATTTTAGATTAAGGTTGTCGTTTCCTTTTTACTTTCTGTGAATAAGATTAGATGTTTCGACAATTTCATGAAAGCTCTTCGGCTTTTATACATCTCGAATCAGGAGTCAATCTGACTGAAATGATCGGTACAGAAAAACTCGGACGAGGCAGCAATGTGTTTTGGATCCGGCGTAAAAGTGATTCTTGTGTAAATATTACATCATGTTCTTTAGAATTCTGGCCTGGAATTGGTAGAAACAGAGCAATATTACTTCTGTCGAAACATTAATAATCAACGATTAAAGCGTTTTTACTCTAATCGCACTTTCGTTTCGCTTGCATATTTCTGATTTGTTACGTCAGAGAGATAGCGGGCTGTTTCTGTTCATGTTTGTCTTGCTGTCGATACATTTTCATGGTACGTTTAAAATGATAACGATTAATGCTCCGTTTATTTTGTTTCATTTCCATCCTAATTGTATTGTAGTCTATGTTGGTTCGGTGTTGTCAATTTCTATAAATTGTCATCGATTTAGGTTTTATTTTCATATTTCTGATAATAATAAATCGATTTCACTTATAATTAATGATCATGCCAAATCGATTTCACTTAATGATACTGCAGAGTTATCTATTTTCGAATGTTATTATTTTCCTCTGTTTTCGAGGATGAAACGAAAACAAGAGAAAAAAAATACTGAAAATAAAATTATTGATGGAAATAATATACATCAAAGTTTAATAACACCGCGACGATTTGAGCCAATGAAGGATAACATAATAACAGTACGTATGAAATCAACCACCTTTATTTGTATATCATTGTTAGTCTCATGGGAGGATATCGGAATGTCTGGTGGAGTAAACCTACAATAGTAAGAATGTCTCAAAATGAAGTCATTATTTCAGGTGTCGAACTGGTGATTTGAGTGCACACTTTTCAATATTTTTATTTGACAAACAAAACTGAGTATGCGTTCTAAGGATGGAATCTTGTTTATGTGTATCATGTAACGAGAATCATGTTATATCGATATGCCAAAAACACTGATTGGCTGTTTCGTGGTTTTAACAACCAATCAGAGAACTTTTCCCAGAAGTGTTCAATGAAACTATACCGATATGGTCATTAGGTTGAATCAGGAATGTTTATGTTAAATGTATAATATTTTATGTTTTGCTTTTATTTGCCAACCGCCAATTAATTTTCTTTTAGAATAAGTACACTACCTTTTTAATATATGTTTTAACCCAGTCATCATATCACGTTATTTCCGCTCATAACTGAAAGTCTTGAATACTGTATGTAGTAATTCTTGAGATATTCAGTGAATCATGTAATCATTTGTCAAACATTATCAAACTGTAATATCTAAACCAGTTGAACTGTACTTACAACGGTAATCTTAATGGGTAGTACTCCAAATACAGTTCTTTAAAATAAGAGACGCAAATATATTTCTATTCGTTAACGGTTGTCGTTTTGTTCTACTCCTGTCATATATCCTAGTTCTGGCATGCTGATAAATTGTGATAAGTAGATCTTAGTTTTCTGTAGGAAGCGAGAGAAAATAGATAATGATTATATAAAGTGTGCCTCCTCGTTCTCCTCCTACATTTGTAGGCTTGCTATTATGTATATCATCCCACGTCAACGTAGCAAATGAGTTGATAAAACTGTCTTATTGCATTAGGTTCATTTTAAACTAATTACCATTTACGATATCTTTATAGCAAAGTAATCTATTGCCGTGCAGGACATAAACTATAGAAAGTATGATAGAGCGTCTAAGTGATGTAGATTCCATGTGACAACTGACAACATCATTTTGATGTTTTGTAAACTGGCATGGCAGGTTAGTGTCGCATAATACTTGACATAATCCCACTTTTCAAAGTTACAGGATCATATTCCCTTCAGAATCATTGTTATTGTTATTTCGTGAATGTACAAATATGTGAACTAATATTCAAGGTAAAGGCTTCAGGACACACTATAACAGTGCATTTAACGATAAATAGCATTTTCACATGCGGGTTGGTTATTTGTTTAGCTCGGTGATGAACAACTCGCAAGGTGGAAATTTGTCACGTGTCACATATAGGTGATAGACTGATCGTTCTAGAAAGATTATTCTAGTTTGTGAGGTTTCCCTGTCTTAGACACGAGAAAGCTGTGCACTTAAACAATGTTCAATATGTATGTAACTGATACACATTTATGCCGACTTGACAATACGTGAAAAACCAATTAAGCTTTTATGTTATTAATAAGCATCATTATTGTGTCGTTGACGTCAAATTCTTAATCAGTCTGTCACTGTGTTAGTTAGTCAGTTGGTTCCTTAATTGTGGGTGGACGGTTGGCTGGTTGGTTGGTTAGTTACATTCTTTTGATAAATTTTAGAGTCTTCTTTTTTCAGCCTTTCTTAGAAAATGTTTCCAATTATGTCTTTCTCATCAATCAAAATGATACAAACACTTATAATCCTCGTGTTCAGGATTTGTTTTATAAAGCAGAGATTAAATGGCGGTAGCTGTAGAAAACCGATTCTCATTGTGGTAATATTTTCACCTCAATGCACATCAAACGAATTGAAAGCTCATCCCTCTCTAGTATCCACGCCTGTCAGTGATATGCATGACATAGAAACTTCTGGAACCTCCATTGCCTAAAATCATTCCATACCAAGCACAAAACTTGCTTGTATTTGTGCCTTATTTATGCGGTGCAGATGAAATTCTCCAACCCAACGTCTGTCACCCTGTTAGTCTAGACAAGTAGCGAGCGTTATTAGCCTTACTGGGTCTCCACATTTCTCATTTCGTTACAAAGCGGTCGTAGAAACATTGGCATATCGTCCCATCGCCTAGTACGCTGCTTCGCCTGCTGGGCATTTGCTTGTCGTGAAGCCCGAGATTACATTAACATCAGTAATCCCTTGTTCTACCAGCGCTTAAGTCAGTGTACCTGTAATTGTGAAACTTGTGTCTACTGATTGAGAGGACAACCGCACTTACCCAGGAGTCTTACTATATACCGTATGAACATTACGAATTTACATACCTATGTTTAACTTAGCGTGTGTATTCAAGTGGAATCCTATAGTTAATGAGACCTGCACAAATATAGACTTTATTGATTTTAATGTAAATGAGGCAGTAATAAGTTATATAAATCATGCTATTGACCAGCTGTTTATATCTATTACTTATGGAGCATATCATTAGACGATAGTAGGCGTAAATATACATGTGTATATTATATCGCTATTATAGTAAAACATACAATTTCTTGTTAATGATAACGTTGGGAAGGATGAGACCGCAGGACAGTGTTAATTAATAATGAAATGACGTCCTGGAACGTGTATGGTGGACGCTAATTGGAAAACTATTTCCCTACAGCTTTTTGGATTTAATTGACGTAAAAACGTGATATTATATAAAAGTCTACCAAAGCATTAACTTCAAAGGTTGTTGGATGCCAATGGATAGTGTTGTAGCTGTGCGGTATAAATGAATTTTCTGAATGGTATACGAGCCATTCGTTAATTTCTATATATACTAACGTTCTACTCTGAAGGGATCATTTATATCGTGGTGAAAACTTTTAAACGTCTAGCCGGTATCAGTGAGAGTCTGTATCATATCTATTACTTGAATATCCCAGTGAAACGCGGAATTCCGTTTGTTAAATCAGCTCCGTGAACATGACCTGATCCCAGCCACCTGGAGATGCAGTGCCCTCGATAGCATTATCATGTGTTGATATCTGACATGCAAACATACCGATGTTACAATTTTGACAAGTACGGCAGTTTAAATTGATAGATGGACTATTTTTTTTTTACAGGCAGACGTAGCGATCAAAAAAGGTGATTACAGTCTACAGACAGTAGTGTAAACCGTGAGTTACCGGAAATCAGGAAAGCTACAGGAACAATGCGTTTGTGTTTTATTAATTCGGAAATTCACGCTCTAATGGAAGTTATCATTTGTGAGCGGTATTCCGTTTTCGTGTTCAGTGGTGATAATAATTTGTGGAAATATAAGGATTTAGAATGAGCGATTGAGGCGAACACATTACAATGCTAAGGATTAGGTAAACAAGGACAAGTGATGGTAAACATTTGATTTGGATCATCACTGGTAAGCGACCAAAGGATCATTTTGACCAATTGCAACTGTGTTTACAAAGATACGTGGATGATGTATTTTTTAAAAAAAAAAGGGGGAATATTTTACGATATTTTTAGAACAAATCGAGGAAACCTTAGATAAGCATTGCATGTGTTTTTTTTAAAAGTTCCAAATCATCAGATCTATTAAATAGACTAAATACTTAATCAAGATGTGTACCAGGGGCTTCCCTTTACATTTATGGCCTCTGTTTTGACATTTTGAAGTAATTCTATAGATGATATGTGATATTTCAAGAATCAGACCGGATAGAACCAGCATTAGTACATTGCAAAAGATAAGTGTCGTGATCGCAAGTTGGATCTGAAAGAAAATTAAGAGTGACTAACAATGTAACTAAAGTATACAAATGCTTGTTTTGCATGAACAGGTTCAAGTTGTGGGGATGGATCCGTGTTCATAACAGCGATTCTCTCGCCAAGCCAGAACTGTAAGTAAACGATGAACCACACTGTTGACAATGGAACAGATAATCACCATGTGTCCTCGCCTCCTATATCCGACTATCTTCAAACATTCTTTATTTTACTTTACGGCATAATTGTGATAATCGCTATTGGCGGGAACACGATCGTCTGCTATCTAATTTACGCATACAAAAGAATGCATACCATTCCTAATTACTTTATTGTTAACTTAGCCGTTAGTGACATCATAATGGCTATCTTTTGCATTCCCTTCACATTTGTAGCCAATCTTATGTTAAATTACTGGCCATTCGGGGAGGTCATGTGCCCGATAGTGACCTACCTTCAAATCGTTGCCGTATTTCTTAGTGCCTTCACATTAGTGGCGATGAGCCTTGACCGGTATATTGTAATAGTGCATCCCTTTAAAAAACGGATTACGGCACGGAAAACCGGATTCGTTCTACTGGGCATATGGACACTGTCACTGACAATACCTCTCCCTACGCTGCTCCAGGCTAGGGTTGAGTACTATTCCAACACCAGTGGAGTGTGTCTCGAGCCTTGGGAGGACTTTACGGCCCGATACGCATACAGCCTTGTAATTATGATTCTTCATTACTTTGGACCCTTGATAGTTCTTGTATTCTGTTATAGTAAAATTGGATATAATATTTGGATGAAAAATATACAAGGAGATGAACGGAATAAGAGAAGGTTACAATTGGCGTCAGCAAAACAAAGGGTGAGTATTACAAAACTTAAATGCTTTTTCTTCTAAATCACGTACATAAATGCATTTTTTGTTATACCTTAATTGTAATTATGCTATTAAGATGATTAATGAAATATAATGACACGTAACCATGGTAACGTAACGTTTATATTGTAAGTTATCATCTGTACAAATATTTCAAAAAGACATGACGAATAAGTACTTGCCATACAATTTAAGTCTCAAAATCACCGACTTACTACGGAATCGCTTTCCTATCGTCAAATCACCTGTATACGTCAGGTACAAATACAGTCTCCAGTCTTACCTTACACTTCAGACTTCGGTTAAACCTCTATTTTTTACAGAGCATATCATCATACGGGTTTTTTCTAGACAATCCAATTTATAAATAAGTCTCGCTTTCGTGACCTGATTTTCCTGAACTCATTTTATTCATATATTGCAAGATGTTTGAGTACAACGAAAGAAACATTGCAGAACGGCATTATTGAACGAATACTACCTTACGAGGCGACTTATGTTGTAACACCCTGCAGAAACGATGCGTTGCTTTTCGTGTCCTTTTGATTTGACAATAGTTGTTGTAAAATCATGTTTTTTTCCCATTTCGTTCAAGTTTTCTTGGTTTTACGAAAACTATGTAGTATCGTTGGCTCTTGATTTCATGGATTTATATACTCGCTAAATCCACTTGTATTACTACCGAAGTTCAGCAACATGTCACGGAAAAACGAAAACACTGACCTATCTTTTTCTTTTCATATCTTATATCTCTATATTCTCCCCTTTGAAATGAAGTATGTCTATCACGACGTTAGTAATCAGAAAATGTTGACTTTTCACCAGAGCAGACCTTTAAGTTCATCTCAGTTTTCTGTGGTTTTTATTTCGTAGATATATAAATTCGTGAATTGAGAGTAACCACGAATACAGCAAAAAAAAAATGCTCACGAAAATGAAAGTAAAATTAAATCCGTTTTAATATTCTTAAACCTTATTCGAACACTTGGTTTGTATTTAGCGTTTGGACTTGGTGTTGATCGTACATCAAATCAAGGTTATAGTCTGTCTCCTGTTTAAGGCAATACATTTTATACTTAAATAAGTGTTTGGTTTTAGTTTCACTTCATTCTGCCGTGTCCATATTGTGTTAATATGATATCAAAGGGTGACAGCGACAGCAATTATAAATCCGTTCTATAGTCCGTGAATACCTCTTCAATCCAGGCGATACGAGGACCGGAAATGCAAAACAGATAAAGACACAAACAATGCTAACGCTATCATCTTCGAGTACCTAACGACCGGTTAGAACTTTGTACCTGTTTCCCGACTGACCTCATTCACCTCGTGTTTGTCTTCTTGCAAGCATGGAAAAATATTAATTGTTTTGTCTTTGGGTCGAAATTAGTGGAGAACCCATGTCTTTTACGATCATCCGGGCGTGTAAATTGGTCTTTTTTCATTCACTCTAAAACATTTCTTTCCTGACATGTCCATGTATGTATCGGTCTACTATCGATCGTTGCAAATGTTGTACAAAGGACACGCAAATGAACGGAACCTTTTAATACAAATTTTAGGACAGGCACATGAGAGCCAAATATTAACAACCTATAAATCGACCCTGTTGTAATCATCTCAAAATATTGATCAATAATTGTGTGTTCATGATCATGTACCACTTAATATCGTCTTAATTTAAACCAATTTTCATCAGCCCTCTCCTAAACTTCAAATTTAGGCCTCCAGCATCACTGAGGAGTCTTAGAAGGATGAAACAGCTGTATGATGTAGCATCACTGAGGAGTCTTAGAAGGACTAAACAGCTGTATGATGTAGCATCACTGAGGAGTCTTAGAAGGACTAAACAGCTGTATGATGTAGCATCACTGAGGAGTCTTAGAAGTACTAAACAGCTGTATGATGTAGCATCACTGAGGAGTCTTAGAAGGACTAAACAGCTGTATGATGTAGCATCACTGAGGAGTCTTAGAAGTACTAAACAGCTGTATGATGTAGCATCACTGAGGAGTACTAGAAGGACTAAACAGCTGTATGATGTAGCATCACTGAGGAGTCTTAGAAGGACTAAACAGCTGTATGATGTAGCATCACTGAGGAGTCTTCGAAGGACGAAACAGCTGTATGATGTAACATCACTGAGGAGTACTAGAAGGACGAAACACCTGTATGATGTAGTATCACTGACGAGTCCTAGAAGGACGAAACAGCTGTATGATGTAGTATCACTGACGAGTCCTAGAAGGACGAAACAGCTGTATGATGTAGTATCACTGACGAGTCCTAGAAGGACGAAACAGCTGTATGATGTAGTATCACTGACGAGTCCTAGAAGGACGAAACAGCTGTATGATGCAGTTTAATTCATTATTTGGCTCTTCTGTGCCTAACTCTAAATGTGTGTACAACCATTTTTTAAGAGTAGATTTCAGAGCAATGAAACATAGCATTATGTTGTGTTTATCAGTCAAATACACACAACGATAATTTGGAAACATTTTTCTGAATGTCTTTTCTGTAAAAGAAGAACATTATACCATTAACCACGTAACATTAACGATTGGCGATGTTTCAGGAACGACAGAAATAATTCTTCAATATTGAAATTTCCGAGACAATGATTGAGGAATCCAGGAATAGTGTTTGGTTGTGATAATCTGGGGAGATGTTTATTACAAACACAATGTATATTCCGACTATACGACATCTTTATATACAGTAGTATATGAATAATATCAAAATAAGATTGCTTACAAAAGCTAATGACAATTTAAAACTGTCCAAAACCGAAAGTAAATGCCTTATATACCAGTTATAATAATTATTATATATCAATTCTGTGCTATCACCTGATATTGATCCCAGTTAATGACCCTGAGAAGAGGAGGATGGGGTTGGGCAGGTAAAATGTTTGTTATGAAGGGCACCAGAAAGACCTCCATGTTGGAGAGTACCCTTTACACATCTGCACTTCCAATTCTGTTGAATTGAACCTTTTATATTTGTTATGGGATCAACCTCAAGTTTGAAGCCACCAAACCTGTCGAAAGCTTTATAAATGCAACTATTTGTCAGTTTGTTAATAAGGATTGGGACATCTATACACGTGCTGTTGGTGTTTACCATGAATACAATTTGACAATGATAATGGCTCTTTCTTAAAGAAACTGGATTGAGCGGTAGTGAGTTGATATTTCAAGTAAAATGTGTATTTTGTGTTATTGTGGACTAAGGCCCAGTGACTAATTGGTTAGTTTGTCAAGGGATTGTTGCTGTAAAGAAAATCTTTTGAGGCCGTCTTGTGTAAAGCGGATATGACGTTTAACAGGTCGCAAGCTCCATGTCCACATTTCGGGATGTTAAGCCGACGCCAAGCACATGGTATTTAAAACAGATAAGAGGACAGCGAGATCAGTGTATTTCGGTCTCTGGTTTAGAACCTGTAACATCCTAATCTCGGCTAACACCTCGGTTGGAATTATGTTACAAGATCTTAGCCCTCGACTGTGATACCCCGATCTAGGTCCGTAACAGGTAACAGATTTGATTAATCTTGACCTAGGTGGTACGTTTTTCATTACCGAGACAATCTTGTGACGTCATAAAGACGTGACGTATCTATGACGTCACATACGTGTTGTTACACAGGTATCTTACGTTATAAATGACACGACTATGTGACAGGTTATGTGATAATATATGTTTAATTTCCCCTTGGGTTTAAATAAGATAAGATATATGTGTGTAAGAATGCTGACATGTTCTAGTATCATATACAGAGATATATTACGTGTTTCTATGTACAGCGTAGTTCTGTAATCAATATATATACCCTCAGTTTATTGTCAGACAGCCTTAGCAGACCACCCTTCCCAAGAAGATCAATTATCTAGTCTTTGGACCATCTCAGTATCATATCTTGTTAAAATGTGAATATTTATCCTATTCCTGGACTAAATCTGTTTTGAATATCTCGAGTGGCAAAGAAGATCACTTCTCCCTATATACAAAACCTATAAGAGATGTTCTGTAAGATCCGATAAGTCAATCTAATCCGTGTACCAAAGACGGTGAATAATTTCCGGCTGTACGATAAAACTATGGTATGTCTTAATGGTTAACATATCCATCCACATTGAGTTACGCGTGCGGCACGCCGTTACACGGATAGCGACCCACGTGCATTTATTTCCTCAAACCCGTCAGTCGTGAAACACCCAAGTTTATAGTATGCATTTTAACCATTTATACACGTTACCTTAACTTAGAATTAGCTACAAAATATCCTAAATATCTTCCACAATTAATGATTTTCACGTTGCTCCGTGCTATCATCGGGATCAAAAGAAGAATCTCCGTTTATTATAACTATAAAAACATCTATAAGAATTGATATTTCTTTCACATTATATGGAGTGTCTAAATCCCGTAATTCCAAGGATTTTGAAAAAAAATCCGGAATTAGTTTTTATCGTATAGTATAGAAGCCGAGACAGAACATTTTTACTTCTTGACTGAAATCAACAACCTGCTGATCGTATCTAAATGACGTCAACTTGAATCATATTCGATAAACCGTAGCGATATGTTGATGTTAATTTGAGTTGATAACTCTGACGTTTCTAAGAGGTAATAGTTTTAATGAGAGGGCAGATACATTTAAAACCGTTACCTATTCCTCCGCCTACAGGTATTCATCCCATTCATCAAACTACTGAACAAGACTTTTTAAAATCACAAAAAAAAAAAAAAAAAAATCCCATAATACAACACCCAAAAGGTCCACAATGACCAGAATACAGCTAACTAATATGGAGTCTCTATAGTTACCTGTCTGGCTTATAAGGATTCTTCATAGTCCCGTGTCAGACTCATATGGAGCCTCCCTACTTAGTTGTCTGGCTCATACGTTCCCGCCCTATTTACCTAAGTGACGTCTGACTAACACTGTCTCCAGAGTTACCTGTCTTATTCAAAAGGAGTCACTATACTCATCTGTTTTACTAACTTGAAGCCTCCATACATGTGATACTTTTTACTCACCCGGATCCTTAATGGCAACTTTTCTGACTCAATCCTTCAAACTTCCATAGTTACCCGTTTGACCCCAAAGTTACTATTTTGACACACATAGAACCTTTATAGTTATCTCTTTGAGAACATTTTAGGGGCCTCTATTCTTTTTGTTTGACTCGGATGGAGCCTCCATGGAAACTTTTTACCCAAACGGAGTCTCCATAGACTCATTTAGAGCCTCTATACTTATCTCGTTGACTCACATGAAACCGTGTATAAATATGCGTAACTTTCACGGACCCTCCATAGCTTTGTGCTCTGCCCACATGGAACCTCTATCTGAACCACTTATCTGTATAACTTACACGAAACCTCATTAGTAACTTTTTTTACTCACATTTGAGTCTCTATACTTACCTGTTTGACCTACGTTGAGCCTCCATAGTTACGTACTGTTATATGATACCCAGACAGGAGCCAGTTATTGAGCATTATATAGGTCTTTGTACCACAAATTAGGGTTGTAACGAACTGCATACACTCAATCATAATACCGACACTAAAATCCAGTTGTTCATATCTTGTAAACCTATTTATTCTGACAGCGGTGAAGACGATAAAATGATAAGGGGAAACACGTTTGATTAAGACTAACTAGCACCACCTGTCGAGTGTATCTCTCTTTAAATACATTCATACAAGAATTACATTCAAATAGCTCTCATATTTAAGTCTATATCAAACCATGAAAACCGATAACAATAAGCCCACTACACCTGAAAGATGGACAAAATGTTTTCTTTGAGACTTTACTTGATAAAATGGATTCAATCTGTTGCTGTAAAGTGCAGATAACCTAGCATAACGGACATCAATTTAAATTCTTTTATAATATCAAACAGATATTGTCTCGTAATAGAAAGTTATGTTCAGATCTTGGCGGACTTGTTATTTTACTTTTAAGTAAGCCTGATAGTTTATCCTCAACGCAGTTCAATAAATAACTTAAAGAGAATATGTTTTATCTTCATGAAACATACATATTTAAAGTATCAACATACTAAGTTCGATTTTAACCAGAGTATTTTTTTCTTTGACATTTCTGTCGATAAACTACTCATGATATACGCCACTGAATCTTAAACCTAAATAGAGTTTCCGGTTTCGACATGTTATTTAATTTATCTACTCAGGAATATATTCTAAAAGCTTGTATATTTAGAGCTCCTGACCCGAAAGTCAACATGACTTATAGTTATCTTGTTCCGTGCATCGTCGTTTGCATAGACTTTTCACATTTTCGACATCTTCTTAAAAACCATTAGGCTGTTTTACATCATGTTTAATAAATCATTTCAAAATGGTGCCATCCATGGGTCTGTTCCCATGGAGCCGTGGGAAGGCAAGATGTTGAAAGTGTTAAAAATCTTTTCCTGATCAATGTCATAATTAAAACTAAATTATTGCGCAGTTATATTGCGCAGTTATATAGTCCTTCAGGAGTATTAACAGAACTGTGCATTTCTGAGATGTCGTTATGAAGTTAAATATAAGTATACTGTAGAGACCTGAAACGTCACCGCCACTTGAATAATACTGACAGACAACGTACCAATGAAAGGAATTTGACGTTTTCTTCGGTTTATCTTCGTGGGAAGTTGTCAGAGGGAAGATCACACATTTTGATGTAGAATTTACTGACTCTGTTCAATAACCTAATAAAAAAAAACTTATTAAGAGCAAATTCAATGCGCATCCCTTAAAATTCAGAATAGTCTTGAAGAAATCAGAATTGTTCCTACTATGACTACTGCAGTTTCACTTGTTTCATTAAGGTTGATAAGATGACTGTCAAGGCCCTTTAGGCCTCTTGTTCTGAATATTTCAGTAACTAATTATGCTGATGATAACAGCTCGACAGGTCTCGAGAAAGAACGGATCTACAGACGTTAAGGATATTTCTTAGCGTTTTAGCTGTCAAAACCGAAATCGACATAATATGCTCTTCTTTACAGACTTTGCTTAGCTGTATGGTACTCCATGGAGCGTGTTACTGGAGAGATGACCGTCAGAATATGCCTGTATTTACTCATATTAGCACCTCGACAGTTAAATTGAATTGATATTCCGAAATTACCAAAACTGTCGGATTATTAGCTACAAGTATCGATCTACTTATATATGTTCTGGAGATAATTGTTTCTCGTGTGATTTTAAACTCAATTACAGCAACCCAGTGGTGTAAAGAAATCCGAGTGAAATCAATTGAAGAATATCACGCGTTGTTTCACAGCTTCAGACTTATGAAAATTGGGGCTGCTATGAAAAATTAACAATTCTTTACCAAGCTACTGTTATGATTTTTACACGCTGATAAGTATAGTGCGCGTCGTCTTTCTCCATTACAGTAGAAACAAAATCCGTGTTTTACTTTTAACACCACTGCCAGATCCTGAAAGGACAGTTTAAGGTATTTGCCTCTGCTGTATCTAGCCTTCAAACTGTTTTAAACTTAGCAATTCACTTATGTGGGTTTTGTGCACTATTATTTGACAAAGTAATCTTTGTTATTTGTTGAGAAACGTATTATGAATAAGTCACAACAGTAATTCAATTGATGTTTACAATTATAATGATAAAATCTGGAGATGGCAGACATTTGATCGCTGTTAGTCCAAACGATTTTATCCTCTGTTTTGATGTTATCATATTGATTCTTTAATTTAATTTCTTTCATGAAATTTATTTGTTCATTTCTCTAGAAATTTTATACTGTATACCTGTTTTATTTCACGGGGATGACATTTTGCAGTTGTCCCAGTTTTGGCTAGTTTACGAGTGCTCATTTTCGCGCACGTGGATCAATCAGTATCCACGAAGATATGCATATCTGATGATCTTTTGATTCGATGTCAAAATGATTCCCAAGTATTCAATTTCGTGAATCTTTACTCAATTCAAACAAAATGTTTAATATTAATGATATTTAGTTCCGTGTTATCAAAATGAAAACATAGCACGTGCACTGCACATGCAAATTCAGATTAGGATTGCCAAATGACCGAATTCATGTTCATGATATCAGAAATATCATGGGTTATTAATAAGGCCATACACAGTAAATAATTGTTTCTCAAAATACAACTGTTTTCTAGTGTAGCCGTTATTGAAACAAGGCATTGTAACGAACATGAGCATACCATCGCCACAGACAGGCATTTGCAGCTGTCATACTGGTCTTGTTATTTCTGAAATGATTTTAGATGCTTGACATCAAACAAAATTATGTCCTCGGTGATGCAAAACGCAACATTGATCATTGTTTTTTTTCCAGCAATTTCTGTCTGAAGCTTTTCTTTTAGATCTTGTGTGTCGCCGCTGACGTCATACTAGTAATCTCTCATTTGCCTACGTTGGCACGCACTGTCGTTATTTTATCCAGCAGCGATACCAGCGAGAGATAATCTGTACGGATTTGTGTGTTGTCTGAACTGTATAATAATCAAGTAAAATTGTCTGGGAATATTTTCTTCATGTTGGTAATGACAAAAGAATGGCATCGACCAAGCGTTAAAGAAAGCGTAGCCGAATCAACTACAGTATATTATTACCATCTCGTCACACTATTTTCGACCTTAGTGTACTTAGGATTCTAGTACAGCCGAAAATGTTGGTCGATTCCTTACCATTTCGTACACTACGTACGTCAGCGCTAGCATGCGCCACACAGGTCATTTGTTCTAATGAAGGTAATCGTGTAGTCATCGAAACGTCACACTCTAATCTTCTTCTGGTTGTGTAATAAGATGAAGGTGACCGTGTAGTCATCGAAACGTTACACTCTAATCTTCTTCTGGTTGTGTTATAAGATTAAGGTAATCGTGTAGTCATCGAAACGTCACACTCTAATCTTCTACTGGTTGTGTTATAAGATGAAGGTAATCGTGTAGTCATCGAAACGTCACACTCTAATCTTCTTCTGGTTGTGTTATAAGAACTTCCGTTCTATAAGTAAAATTATGGTTTAGATTTTCGTTTGCTCTTTCGCCTTTGGTATTAACTGCATAGTGTTATATCACTCGAGAAAATCCAGTTTTTTGTATCGTATCCATGCCAAGAGAGAGGAAAAATGCAGATTTTAAATATCAAATCATGAAAATGCATGAGTACAAAAGAGAAAAATAAATAAATAAATAAGGTCTACTAAAGATTTATTTGATGAAATGTGCCGTTATCATCAATCTCGTATACAACGAGATTTCATATCAATGGATTTGAGACGGACGTGCTCGTTCAATTCTCACGGATTCGTAATGTGCTAAAATTGCGAACGATCTAATCGAATTGTCTTGGCACAGTGATAAGTACTGGAATCTGGGCTGTGATATTGGAATCAATGATGCAATCTTTTCAGTGGTGTGGTCATGTCCCGGTCAAGCACTGGTCAAGCATGCACATACAGATAGACTGAGGGAATGTCCCTCCAGACGAATATATAGTGGCAAGGAATGATTGCAAGGTTTGAACGGATAACAGTTTGCGCAGTGCACGTGATGAAAAGAGGGTTGAATTCATATATAATTTGAATCAGAATTTGTATCAGGCGATCTCATTCGCAAGCACACACTGAACTGTGACAGAAATCGATAGTTTTGAACACTGTCTACAAATACTGGAATAATAATTTTGCCAGAGGTTGTTGAGAAGTTGATATACTTATCTTCCGGAGAATACGTAACTCTTTCCACAGCATAAAGATCAATTAAAAAAATAGCAGTTTCCTTTACTTTCAAATTCTTTCGCTTCAACTTTTTTTTTTCACTTTGAAATATGGGTTTTTCAACGACAAGACGGATAAAGCAAATGTTTTTTCGCGTCGACTAGAAAAAAATATCATAAAGCATGTATCGAAAGACTTAAAATTTCGATTATTATTTTAAAATCACCTGCCGTTTTTTGCATTTACCGATATCTTACTGAAAACAAGTTTTAGTTTTAGAATTAATGGGAAGTTAAAAAAAAAAAAAAAAAAAAACCCTGATCTGAAAAACGTCACTGATTTGACAAGTGATAATATGATTTTATGTATGACTATAAGGTCAGGATATCAAAATCTGTTGAGGACGACGTGACGTATTTCAAGTGAAAAACGTCGACTTGTTTTCTTCATGTGAGTGTATCAACATCCATGGCTTGAAACCACTTATTGTTCGTTTTAATACGATTTTTAACGTAGCAAGAATTCAAATGAGGCACGACGTGACTTTTGTAAGATGTACTTAACTATTTCGTTTATCTTCTGTTTAGTTAATTGATGAAATGATAATGTTATTTTTCACCCTTCGAAACCCTAATCAGATCAGTGCTACAAAGCATTCAGAAAACATATGGGCATATATAAGACCCAGTTTGTCATATTCTAATGTAGTTTTCTCCAAATTAGGTAAGATGTTGGTCGGGTGTTCATTAAACTGTTGTTTTGTCCTTAACTGTCTTCTCTAACTGAACTTCCTGTTATTTTGACTTCCACACAATTAATCACAGAGTAATCGGTCACATCGTTCTTGGTTTACAATCAAAAGACTCCATAAAGCGTTATTAAATAAAAATGCACACATCGTTTCTTTGTTTCTTGAACTGATAAAATGTATTAGTAAACGATGGACGTAAGTCACCATGGTTAGGGTGTGTTTGTGTGTGTTTTTTGGGTTTTTTGGGGTTTTTATTTTTGTTGGTTTTTTGTTTTTTTGTTTTTTTGTTTTTTGTTTTGCCACAGACACCAACTGAAAGAAGTACCAAGTCAGAAGATTTTAAAAGTCAATTATATTGCCGACTGTAGCAACGTGTGACACACAATAAAAAAGTATAAGTACAGAGCACAGAGCAAGCACATACTTAAATTTACATCTATTCTATCACTTGTTTCCACTTCGGCGTGGCCGTTTTCTTAATTCGCTTTCAACTAGACATTTTTTGTCTTTTTTCCCTGCAGTTTTTTTTAATGGCACCTTTCAATGCAAATTAAGACTCTTTCCAAAGGTCATTTACGAATTCTATTTTGCGATATGAAGTAAGCAATACCTTTGTAAATTTTGAATGATGATGGCGTTCCTCTTACAATTTGGTAAATCCACGTTTTCATTTAGTCAGAAGAATACTGGTGTAAATTGTACCGTGCCATCATCAGTTCCGTCTTCTCACAGACAGGTACACGTGGTTAAGCGGAGTTGTAGATTTTCAATCATAGTAGTACGTCAGCTTGTCCATTTTTTGTGTATAGTATCACGAGAACGTAATCGAAAAAACGGTATTTATAAAACGGCAACTAAAATATTAAAATAGAAAAAATAACCTTTTTATCCCGAACTAGCACAGAAGGTGTGATAATTAAAAATTGAAAAGGTGATTGAATGTAAGGCTCAAATTTCGCTGGATGAGAGATTCATTGATTTTATGAGAAAAAAACGCAACAGAGAACATCACACCGCGAAAATTGAACTCCGCCAAAATGAATTATTTTACAGAAATGTAGCAACAAACAAACACAATCCCGCATAACAAGATACCATGGGAATTACTAACCTTTTTTTAGAAATACAGTCGCTAGGGTAACGTAGCTGAACTGGTCGATATCCTTTCCCTAATTAGTTACTGTTTCGTAAGCGAAGTATGTGTCGACAATACATCATACTAATGTGGAAAAGGAGCCGAAAAATCTATAAATAAATCATCTCTGTTTTACAACAATTTCGAAACAAGTTTTTTGATCTTATAATAATCACCTATGTTAGCCTGGATGGAAGCGTGCGAGGAGCCTTACTGTGAGAGGAACCCGAGAACACACACGTGGTGGGGCAGGTGACTCCATACCTTTTCACGTCCGTTCTGGGAATCGAACCTTGGGCGCCTTGGTTAAAAGCGAGTGTGTTACCAACGCGCCAACTGACCACCCTTTGGGATTCTACAACGACATTGAAAATCACTGTAAAGTGGAACCCATGCCGCAACAGTCTAGATCTGTACACCACGAAAATCATTCATTCAACATTCAAATTAAATTATGTTCTGCGGCAATAATTAAATTAAGCCTTCACAATGTTAAAGAAAGTGAGTTCATTTTCACCACATCAATCCTCATTTTCTTTTGAAACGGTCCAAATAAAAGTTGAAAAACCCCAATTATACGTGCTCCTTGTTACATTTAATTAAGAAATTTTCAACCTTGGACGATCGATTCTTCAAAGATTATTCATTAAAGTTAACTAATCTTTAAGGTAACGGAGACCATTGTCCAAAATTATCATCCACTGAAAGCTTCATAATCAATAAGGAACTTTCCTTTTTTTTCTTTTTTTTTTTTCACTAATGCCGAAATTATCAAAATCTGGCCGTAATCAAATGAAGGATTTACACTTGGCATTTATAAATGTTGCTATTGACATATTTAACAGAGAAATCTTTTTTTTTCTAAAGAACAAAATCCGTAATACGTGTCATTCGCTATTGAGTTAGGAACGCTTTGTTGTCATTAACTTGCTGTTAAGTGTAGTGTTTAATTATCAACAAAATCGGAAACCCATTAAATCACAGGAGCTTCAGTGAAAATAAAACCTGTGTATTTCAAATTATTGCTGTCATAAATTTCTCACGGTGATATTTTAACTTGAACTGCATTCTTTGAACAAATTAACAATGTTTATTAAAACACGTGCAAAAATCAATGGAATGAGCAAATGATATTTTGGTTTATAAGGCTTCTTTTTCCTGAGACAATGGCAAAATGCATATGACGCTGCTTTATTTTCATTTCACGGAAGAAACCTCTGCTTACACAACGTCTGACTGTTATCGATACGTTTTTATATTATCTAATTACGGCCTTCTTTTAAATCAGAGTTCAATTTCTCTTTTTGATTTTTGATAAAGCAGGTGATCAAATAAATCTTTATTAGGCCTACTTTTTTTTATCATATTTTGACCTAGTTTCACAAGATAATTGTTTCAGTTAAGACTTTGTTGGCGAGTTCGTATTTCCTTTGTTTTTTGTTTTGTTTTTTTCTTAAATAGAAGTTGATGATCACAACATGCCCAAACAGGTGTTTTATTCAACCGCTTATCTCTATTTTTCGTAACGTCTTTGATACTTGAAATGTAAATATTTTTTTATTTCGTTTAAATTGTGAACCGTTGATAACCTGTGAAATTCATGTATGACTTTATCTCGTTTCACACTAGACTATAGTATGACACTTTTTCCAGATCTCAATCAACACAAACGACCTGTATCTGTCAAATCCAGTGGAAGAATATAATTATTTTGTCTATAAAACTGAAAGCGCCCTGGGAATAAATAACCCATATCATCTGTTTATTCAGTTGCAATACTTTAATTATTTCTCGAGTATGTCTCCTACATATTTGTCACTTTAATTACCAGCCGCAATCAGTAATATAGAAATGTTGATACAACTTTAAGGATCTATCGTCTTTATCTCCTAACTGGGTTCAACGACCTACGTCATAAATAGTCCTTGCTTAATTCTACATTTTTGTTCTACGATTTTGTGTGTAATCCACTATAGATATTCCAACGTTTTAGCTGTTATACCTTATTTAAGGGGATACAGAGTACTTCATTTAAAACAAAAACATTCGCTCCTTTACACAATACAACATTATGTTATCAAGTTGTTCTAAAGTCAAAGCTTATTGTGTACGATCAATGGTCTAAATGGACAGCCTGTGTACAAGATATCGTATGAAAACGTTCATATTCACACTTAATCTTCAAACCATCAAGTTCTACATCTGACAAGGTTTAGTTTAAATCAACTTTATTGCAAACAAAATACAACAGGATTGGTTATAACAACTTATTTACGTCCTTTCCGTAACAAATAAAAACATACAAATTAAGATAGTCACGCAATAGCCTTAGAACTTTTCATATTTTTAGTTAAAGATAGGCTTAGAAAATGAGAAAAAGAAAACAAAATTGGGGTAAGGGGTGGGGGAGGGGGCACCGACGAGTAATTCTGTGGATTAGGTGACTGTTATTTCCTAATCCAGTCGACAAAGAACTGACTTTTTACTGTACACACATTGCGTTCTACTTATCTAAAATGTTCAGTCACATCCCGTGCTTTACTTGTCGTTCTCCTGGATCACTCCTTGTCCTTCTACGATGCGGTACTCTACTTTCTTTGCCGACAAGATTAGGAAACCACAGCCGTGATCTTGGTATATGGTTTTGGTAAAATATGAATATTTTACGAAGTATGTATTAAATAAACATTATAATTATATAAATAAAACAATACCCGTCGGTGTTGGGAGGAAAGGATGAAACTGGATGAATGGAAGGGGTGTGGGGAATTGGTAGTATAGACATACTAGGTGTCCTGGTTATCGATGATTAAATGTTAAAACGTTTAGAACTAGAAATAAATTATTGTACAGACCTACAGATGACAATATTTTTATCAGTATCGAGATTTTCGTCCACAAATAGAAGGTGTTCCACCGTTATTTCGTTGTACCAGTAAAGAGACCGAAGAATTATATTACTTAATTGATCAAAGTTGTTACAGAAAAACAAGTAATGCTTAGAGTCTTCAGAATGATGTCCGCAGCTGCAAGAAGAATTGGGTCGAAGACGTGCTTTGTAAAGATCATAATTTAGAGAGCTGCTGCTGTTGCGGAG